ATGTTTTTTTTACTCTCAAAGCCTTGGAGCCCATTCACTTACATTATAAGACTGACAGACTGCAACGGTTTGAGTTAAAAATCTCCGTTTGTGTTCTACTGAAGAAACAAAGTCACCTACATCTTGGATGCCCTGGGGTTAAGCAGATGAACTATCCCTTTAATGACGGACAGCTGAAGGAAACTCTATCGCTCCCTAGAGAACCGAGGACTGCGCACTTGAAACGTAGCGCTCGTAGCACTCGAACATTAATGTCGTGCTTGTATACTTGCGTGAAAAGTTTCTGTCACTGACCACATCAAAGCAAAATAAAGACCAGAGATGATTTCACGCCAATAACACTGAAAGACGAACGTAACAAACACTAAACCATAATTCCTGCTCTCTCTACCAGTTTTATTTTAGCATTGTGATGTATTTCCAACTGAAACGGAATATTGAGTAGAGGGCAGGGTTTATGTTAGTGCAGCTCCTCACCATGTGCGCCAACAAAGCAAACAGCATCAGTTTTGATTTCATGTGTACTTTAAACTTTTAGAAGACACTTTCTTGACTCCAGGAGCTCTGACACAAACCAGCTGAGACTCGTGCGCTCGCTCTATTGTCTATCGCAATAACCATCACCACCACACCCCGACTTTACTGCTCTGCTCGTGGGGTCAAAGTTCAAAGTTGCCATGGTAACACGTGTGTGCAATCCCATAAGGGTAATTACTGGAGACGTGGGGTAAGTAGGGCACGCTACAGCCGTGATGAAAACGTGAGCGGCCCGACGGCATCACAACACTGAGGATATTCAATAAACGCAGCTCTGTGCATGATGTAAAAATGCAAAGGCTTATCTACAAATCTCCAATCAGAGTGTGTTTGTGTGTGCATTACCCCCCCTTCCAGCAGGATAAATGGGAGATCAGAGACTAATGCCACTCTGAAACAAGTGTAGATCTCTTCAGCACAACAAAAAGCCTCTTTACTGTCAGTGATACAGCAAATCCTCTTCTGACGGCGCGCATGCATGTGTGTGAGAGAGAACTGATGTGATTTAAAATCACTGACGCTAGAGGAACGAACAGCAGCTCAATGAGTTCCTGCACTTTGTGACCAAGATGTTTGAATTCACACACACAAAAAAAGCATAGCATGAACTTAACTACAAAAACTGAACCTGGAAATCACTGTTGTTCAAGGTTTTTTTTCCTGCTTCGCCGCTTCATCTTTCAGACAGGCTGCATGAGGGAATCAGACTCGTGTTTACAGACACTTTTAAATCCTTTCATTTGCTCCATCTCCTGCTTTTCATAAATGCATGGTTTGATTCCCGCAGCCCCCACTCCATCCCAGTCTCTGCTGCAGGCGTATTTCCAGACTCTCTCTCCAGCAGATCAATACCTTTTTTGGGCTACACCAGCGAGCTCCACACACACACACACACACATCTGCTCAGTCTCAAGCCGTCATGGTGCAGTTTAGAAAAACCGTGAGCCATTAGCTTGTGAAAATGAGCCATTAGGATCCATGCAACACTTTAGATCACTTACCGGAGGAACGGAAAGAGAAAGAGAAAGAGAGGGAGAGATGGAGAAAACGCTGAAATGAGAGATGAGATCACGTCTGTCTACATACACAGAGGAGCAGAAGTGCTCATGGAGGAGGATGGAAAAGTACCGCAGGATGGAGAGATGGAGAGACTGCAGGCCTCGGATGAGAGCAGCGCTGGAGAATCACCTCCATGATTCAGGAACATTTACCAGCAGCAGTGGGAGAAAATGTCAGCTTTGGTGCCCCAATCACCTCATATATATATCAGACCCGAGAACCAAACCAGCGTCTGTTCTCTGGCGAACACAAGCGCGTCTGTCTTTCATCACAAGGCACGCGGAGCCTCATATAGAACGCTGGTTTTAACGCTTACCTGTCCGGTCTCTCCGGTTCCGTCCATCCGCGCTCGTTTGCATTCAGCTCCGACCGAATCCCCCGCCGCCGCGGCGCCCTCCTGCTCCGGGTCCCCGCGCTTCATCCCCCGAACCGCCGCCGAACCGGAGTCCAGATCCCTGTCGTGTTCCAGGATCCCGTGGCTCACGGGCAGCATTACAGATGCGACGTCGGTCGACATTAACATTGAAGAGGGCCGCAGATGTTGCGTATGAAGAGCGAACAACGAAGACGAGATGTTCTGGCAGAGGATCGGCGGCGCTTTATGGATCAGAACCGACGCTCATCTGACGCGTTCAAACCCGTTACAATGTGTCGCGCGAGTGCCGCATTAAAGGCCTTTGACGAGTAGCGACTGTTTCGGGCCTGGACGCGAACAACAGACTCGAACCGCGAGGTGAAAAACAAACGCGCTTCGGAGGATCCTGTGGCGTGGAACGGAAAACGGTGGGGAAAAACGAGTCTAAACGCATGGAGGGCGAACGCGAAGGAAACGCTCGATGCGTCTGAAGGTTTCGGACCTCAAACGCTTTTCCACCAAATTAAACGCAAAATGGTCAAGTTCGCCTTTAAAAACAGGCGTCGCAGAAAAACGCGAGAGAAACGCGATGCATCATTCCAGTCCTTCGAGCGATTCAAGCGATTTCCTAAAACAAAGGAGTGGCGTGGAGCTGCTGCCTTGCCTTTCCTTTCCTTTCCTTTCCTCTCCCTCTCCCTCTTTCTGTCTCTCTCTCTCTCTCTCTCTCTCTCCCTCCCTCTCTCTCTCTCTC